CACAAGATTATATATAATAATATATTACAATAAATTAATGATCCGACAATTGAGTTTAAAACGGGATTTAATCTTCCCAAGCTTTTAGGGAGTACTCATGACAAGATAGTGTTCGAACAAACTGCATTCGGGTTTAGGTCAAACGCGCGAATGGTAATGTCATGGAAATCGCGAGCATCTGAGTGCGCTAGTGTTACGTTATCACGTAATGGGATATATATACGTTGGTGTATCGAATTGCACATCCTAGATGCATGCACGTAGGTCTTCCCGCCATCATCCTGGCGCCAATGAGTGCGCTCTCAACAGCCCTATCTTCATCGGGCATAAATTCTCTGCATCGAGCGAGATTTTGATGCTGCGTGCAAATATTTGTGAGGTTCACCGTTTAAACATCGTAGGTATTTCCAAATATTATAGACGATCCTTTTGACGTGAGAGCGAGTTTATTTATTACCTCAGGCACATAGCTAACAACATGGTCGACATAGAGACGAAAGTGATTATTTATTGTTATACTACTACTAGTATCAGGAATTTTCTTAACACTTTTTGCTCGTCTCTACGTTTTATTATTGAAACTTCGTTCCATTCTGAATTACTTAGGTAAAAGTATTTTCGAATATATTACTTTGGAAGACACTTAGAATAGTTTCCTTTCCATCTGTCGAGGTTGGAAAAAAGGAGCTCAATAATTCGTCATCCCTAATTCTTTCCTATTTCATATTATATTTGTAGTTTTCAAATCTTTTAACTTGCACCATGGCTACTTTCATGAATCTTCATGTTGCATGAAATTTTTTTATTATGTCTTTCCATTTATATATTCTTTTTTTTTTTTATCCAAATTGTTTAATATGGAACATAAAAAATATTTGTGTCGAAAAAATTTAGAATTATAATTTGACATTTCATTCGACATTTCAATGTGTACGAAAAATAGTTTCGACGTTAGTAAACGATGAAAAATTTTTATTTTTAATATGTTTTTGTATTTTAGGATTCATAATTAGAAATGGAATGTTTGCATTATCGCAAAATATTCGATAATATAGCCGCTTGATGTCATAAAGAAATTGAATATCATCAGTTTCGATCAGATCATGTTCCTTGTAAATAAAACATCCCTCTCGAAGCTTGTATAAAATACAACTACGAGTGTCACAGTTAGTTATATGCTCGAAATGTTTGAATATCCATGCACTGACATTTTTAAAACAGCGAGAGAAATGTGATGCAAGGGATTTCGACAATATTTTTTAACTGGTACATATTCAAGCCTGAAAATGTCACTTGGCTGTTGCATCTCGCTGTTCTATTGATGTCGCAACGAACAACGCTGATGCGTTTCACGTAGTAATTGCACATAGAAAACGTTAGCAAACAAAATTAGTACATTTCATTTATTCCGACAGTTTATTACTTTCGAGATTTAAAATGAATATGAAATAAATTTAATTTTATAAAATAAATATGAAATAAATTTTAGAATATTAATTCTTAAAAATATATAACAAGATTTGATAAGACTGCAAAATATATGCGCAGTAATAAAAAATATTCCAGAATTGCAAAGAAATTGATTCTGTTAATGTTAAAATTATAATTAATATAATTAATATAATCCTAATTATTTAAACATCTTGAAAGATTTATTTGTTATTGCATAACAAAATTACACATGCTGATGTAATCATTCATAGTTGTATTCTGTTGATATATATCTGATATTTAAATTATTTCTAATTAAAACTCTTTTTTTATATACTTCTCTTCCGCATCTAGTAGACATTGATCAATTGAGGATACGATTGGAAAAGAGTGCATTTATTTTAAATTTCTTATTTGTGTTTATTGGATATTGTAGAAGTATTTGCAGTTTTATAGACAATGGCTGTAATTGAGTACATTTTCCCACTATTCCTTTTGATGTATGCCTCTTTTCCAGCCGCAATTGACATTTTCCATTTAGAACTACTGATTAGAAAGCTACGTTTTCTGTGTGCAATGACACGAGCCTCTAGGAACGATCGTATTAGTATCGTTTCTCGCTGAGATCATCCTCTCTATCTGTCTTCGAGCTTGCTTGAGCCTTGCATGGCGGGTCATGGTTGTTGTTTCAGGCCGCGGCAGCGGCAGCCGCAGCCTCACCATTGTTGAAGACACCACTATCAACGGCACAGCAGGCTACGTACGCAGCTGCAGCAACCTACACGGCGGTGGCTGCGCGCGCATACGGCGCAGCTGCAGCTGCGGCACAACCGGTCGCAGGATATGCCGCAGTCGCGGGGTAAGTGCACCACATTTTCACCCGAGAAACCCTCGTGTATGTACTCTCACTCACCACGAATCCTCCAGGATCTCTCTTTCTCTTCCTCGCTCCCTCTTTCTCCTTCCCTCTCATTCGATATACAGAACGTCCCAGATTTAGCGAGCCAACTTCCGCCTACGGATTATTTAATAAAACTGGAGCCAATTTTTTTTGCGAAAGAGCACATGTGCAACTTTTATATTTAATTATATACCTACCACTGATCCTATTTAATTAAATATTCGTTCAAACAGAAGAAGTACGTGTAAAATTCAAGAAATTGAAAAATTCAAGACATTGAAGAATTGCTCTGAATTGATTAAATGTGGCTCGGTAAATTTAAAAATTTCTCGTACAATGCCAAAGATCTCTCCAAAAAGAAGAAAACTTTTCGAATGTGTTCCCTTTATTCCTCTTAGAGAAAGGGAGCTTTGCAACTTTTCTTCGCGAACGTGCTTTTTTTATAAGATTTCAAGATTTTTTTTTTAATGATGCTTCATTTATTTAGTATAAATTGTTTATAACTTGTTATTGGACGCTTATTGCTATATTATGTTTGGAGCACTATATAACGTTGTATTATCATATTATAATGTTACTCTCCTATATGTATTTGCAAATTAATTAATATATATTAATATATATTAGTAATTAATATATTACTGCAATAATTATGTAATGTACATTTTGAAAAATATTTATGCAATTAGAAAAATATACGACAACTTAATAAATTAGAATTTATCATTATTAGATGGAATGTTCACATTTTTGATATAAGCATATCATAAGCTTATTATTCTTTAACAACTCATTTGATTTATTCGAAATTATGACATATTATCTTCATTATTGATATGAAGGACATGATTCTCCCATCATATCATAGTTGTGGTCTGTATGCTGTCTCGTAGTGGCATGCAGATACACATGTATAGATTGAGGGACGCTTTGAAGTCACCGGCTCGACCCCATTACGAGAGTGAGGTCAGAATGCATATCATGTATTGAGCATCGCAATGAATTACCTTCATCTCATCTATCCTTGATGATGTTCATTATCAACATTTTCCTTCATATTTGCCAGCAGCCTCCATGTTTTTTTCATTCCTCTTTCAGCATCACAAAATACAAATTCTCCAATTGGAGAATTATTATTTATTAACAAAATTATAACACGAAGAGTCCGTTCCTTGCAGCAAATCCCGACGTCGCGGACGACCTGTTAGGAGTCGCAGATTTGTTTCCGAAATTCAGACCCGTCCTGATAGTCCCATCGAAAGTCCAAACCATTCCTCGAGAAGCACCACTCCCCAAGAAACCTTAAAGCGCACTTAATGCACTTCGCGTCGATATCTTGCATCCAACACAAGAGGAATATCAAGTACAAATATGAGTATTAGAGTCGATTTCATACCTAATGCGTTCTATACGTACGTAGCTTTCATTTGTCACTCTGAGTGAAATGTTTGGTATGTAAAACCATTTATATATTTTTTTTATATGACTAATAAAAGCTTTCTTATTTCTTTGTTAAAAAATTGTGTTCTAATAAAATTTGATTACTCTAAATTTTAATTAGAATACAACTTTTTAATGAAAAAGTAATAAAAGTTACATATCAACAAAATAAATGATTATACGTTCCAAACATTTTTTTCAATGCAGAGTTTAATTACAAGCAATTTTGTCAATTTTAAAATCCTATATAAGAAAGAATTATATATGTACAATCCTACTTTAACTTATACTATCTCTGATTTTAATTAAAGTTACTGACAAGGAAAAAATGATTGTTGAAATATTAAAAAATTTAGTTTGATACAGATCTGAAAATTTTTTGTTGGACTGGCAAAATAATTAAGTAGGACATTCAAGCATAATGAGCAATGCTGCAAAAAGTTTTGACATTCTAACAAATTTGCGTTCTATATAATTATTTTAATGGTCTAATAAAATTATTGCGAAATTTATATATTTACATGAAAGTTTTATCAAAATAATTCGAATAGTTTTCGAAATTTTTGAAGAAATAAACTTTTTCCTTTAATTTGAATACCTTTGAAATTAAGCTGTTTTGGACATGAATTTTTCGTTTTGATTTGATTTTTTGTGAGGAATCATCCCTTAAAACTCTCTTTTAGAGTATTTAATTACCATCTTGTATATTTTTCTTTTTCATATAAGGATTTTGATAAAATCGCTCGTTGTCAGACTCTGTTAGGATCTTTATACGTTTTAATTCCATATTTCCTCTTTCAATCTTCCTCACGGAAAATAATGAGAGAAATCGGAAGAATAAAATGCGCATATGAAATCGTTCGACTTCAGCGAAACGAAAAATCCTATCGATATTAACAATCACTTTTTTATTCTTCCAGCTACGGGCGTGAATACGCCGATCCCTACCTCGGACATGGCATCGGACCTGTGGCGGGTTACGGGGTAAGAAGGAGCTTCGATTACGAAGTGTACTTTTACGATTTCATTTAACGGTAGTGCCGTTAAATCGCGCACATAGATCTCTCGCGCGCGTATCACCGCTATATGGAAGGAGAATGAAGCACCCCGTTATTACGCCATAAATAACAAGCGTTAGGAAAGACCACCTCGGTCGTAGCGCGTTTCACTCACATATGAATTATTAATGCCAGGAATTTTCAACTTACGGGAACTGTGTCGCGACGAAAGTTAATGGCTTGTGTTCCCATCGCACGCATTCATCCTCAAATGTGATTATTCGGACTTCCATGCCGGTCTCAGTTTGCTCGATGAACGCGAACTGTACGTATTGTGTAAACGACAGGATGGTTCAAACGAAATGGGTGTACGCCGTGAAGGAGTTTAATCATTCCTGACTCAATTTAATGGGGCGAAAATTAAATAAGTTTTTAGCTCGATCTCGTTGGTTTTCCGAATAGATGGTTCTGACGTTTCACTGCAATGTTGCACAACCGTAAATTGAAATCTTATATAAAACACCGCTTACTTTATTTGCCGTTTATCTTCGGACGGTGCATTTTTCAGTTCTCGAAATAAGATCTTGAAACAAACGGTTGCATTCAACGCTAAATGCACCACAGTTTATACGTTAGTTTGCGCTGTGTATCATATTAAGATGGTATCTTATAAATTTTATCTTTACAGGCAACTGTATACAGAGGCGGCTACAATAGGTTCACGCCATACTAAATGGATCATTAATAGAACCCAAGAGCCTTCCAAGTTATACTCAGCAGAACATGACCAGACACGAGTCGACACAATCATCACCGTCATTTTTGTCATCATCGAGATCACCCACGAGACGATGAGCCTGGACCCTCCCACGCATGCTGACTCGCTGGTTTTACCTTCCAACTTTGTGACTCAAGGTCATCATGAAGATGCGAAATCCTCGACACCGAATCGAAACAGAACTGTTATTAACGTGAAAAGCATCGTGCTTTTCTACGTCAAATCTTTAAATAGTACCTTCGAAAATATATAAGCGATAATTGAAATAGGCGAGAAAAATTTGTCTGTAAAAATGCAACAGCAGCGTCGAGGTCGGCGCATCAAAGTATCGAGTCGTGTTCGGCCGGAAATCGCCTTTAAAGTTGCCTCTAAAGTCGCTCCTCTGCCAACAGCTATTCGCAGGGGGGAGTCTTTTACTTGATTCCGTTTCCATCTGATCCGAGTAAATTGTACTGAATTCCAAATATCAAAATTGATATAAAACTAATAGTAACTGCTTCTCACACTTTCGAATTTTATTCTGCACAAAATTATTTTCGATAATTCCATCACGTTTCTCTGTATTTGTCATATATTCTTCTTTAATATCAAGCGTTTTAATCTTATGAACAATTTTATGAGTCACTAAATGGAATATAATAGTAGTTATATTTCTTTCTCTCTCTTGTTTATAGTTTCTATAAAACGCATTATCATATCATGTTGTGATATTATGTCTGATACGATGCATGATTCATGCAAGTTTGCCTATTTACTGAAATACTTGTAATATAGCTGTATATTTGTTGTAATTATTTCTATTTAAGTCAACATTGCACATTACGGTTTACATTCATAGTCTAAATTAGCAGATAATATTAATAATTCGAAGGGGCTGCCGAATCGCGCGCGCGAAGAAGCCCTGAACAATTCGCACAAATATCATAGGACAGTTTTACGCACATGATTTATTTAGATAAAAATAAAATAAGCAAATGCGCAATTATTGAATCATTAAAATAATGTAAAATGATATAATATACTTTGCTGCAGTATAAAATGTAATTTCTTTGCGAGAAATTAACGAATGGCAGCGAGGCATTGACGATTTCAGTCGACACGAATCGACACAAGGTGATCCGAAAAAGCGAGATCTTTAGGTAGCTAGTTTAAAAAAAAAAGAAAAACGACCTAGAAAGAAATAAAGGCATCCATGTGACCGGTAGGGTTTCTATGCCAAATATGTGTGTATGCGCTTTCGCGCGCGTGTGTATGCGTAGGTTTGCGAAAACTGTTCTCAGTAAACTTAAAAGAGTAGCGGAAATGGAAGAAGACAGGGACAAGAAACCGCTGAGACCTCTGAAACAGTATACCGGATTTTAATTGCACAGAATCTAATCGAATTGATTTTTTTAATTACAATAGCGCACTTTGATTTCCATTTGTCTCCTACAATTCAATCAATGTCTCGTTCCTGAAATCTTATTCTGAAAAATTTGAACTATCTCATGTCTAATTGTTTTTATAATTTTGTCAAAACATGAATTGAATACATCGTGAATCAAATAATAATAATAGAAGGATCCGCAGAAGAAAGACTGCAAAGATCTGTTTTAATTTTTATTCTCTGGAACTGAATTTGAGACCTGTAGACTCAATTCCACGTTATGTTGTTATTCGAAAAGTTCCGAACAGCAATTTTATCGCATCCTTTCACGTATCATGTAAGAATAGAACGGCAAATACGGTCATATTGTCTTATCAATGCCTCTTCTCTCTTTTCCGAAAAAAATCCGACATCAAGTGTCACGCGATAATCTCCTCCCCCCTCCCCTCCCCTCTAGTATGTACTACTTATTTATTTAGTTAATTAATGATTGAACGGACATGACAATTTTCTTTTTTTTACTACAGTAAATATTAAACAGAGTCCACCTCATAATCGCTAAGCGCAGAATCTCAACGCCAATGAACGAGAGCATAGTTGTAGTACATAAACAAAGATAGACTTGTAGAATACATTTCTTGGTATGAACCGATCTTGCAGGGTGTATCACGAATGCACTATCCGCACGAAGCTCTACCCGCTACGCTAAAAGGAAAGAAGATCCGTTACGCTCAGGTCACTATTAACCGGCAAAAATCAATATTGTACAAACATCTCTAGCAAGGACGTTGCATACTTAGCAGATCGTTTCGGTTTCTCGATGTCGAAGCGCGTGCGTGCTTGTAAAACGAACTTGTCTTCATGTCACAAAGGATGATTAGGTCCATCCAGCTAAATGAAATGTCGACCCAGTTGTAACGAAATACATCGAGTAATCGAAAACGCCGATACGGATAGTATCATTCAATAATGTGAATACCACTTTTCTTTCTTTTTCCTTTTCGAACTTTTTAGTTACGATGTACGGTAAACGATTGTATCTTGATATAAAACTGTATAGGTAATTTTTATATTTACATTTAAGGTTTTTTAGAAATTTTTTGTTGAACACACATGTCTTTTTATATAAATATATTTTTCGTTCTCTTGGGAATTGTTAGTTTATTTATAGATTATTATTTTTATGATCAAATCGCTGTTCATCTCGGTTTCTATTCAAATCGGCGTTCTCGGTCACTAGATTTTTTTCTTGTGACACTGCTTCCTGATCGAGTAGATATACCGGTGCGCTATATAGAAAGTAAAAAATACTCTATTTGAGAGTAATGCGAAATGGAAAAAATGGTACGCACATTGAGTCGAATGAGTGATATCTCTGTTAAATTAATAGTTAAGCGAGGATTTATCGTATATATTATACGTAAGAATATAAGATACGTTGCGCCACAATACAAGAATAAGAAGGCGTGTAATGCGAAATGATACAACTGAAAAGCGAAGAGTAAAAAAGAAAAGAAAAAGGAGGAAGGGAGGAGCAAGAAAATAAGCAGTGTGAAATAGCCAAATATGACAAAGATGTTTTAGAAAGTACGGCAAGTAGTTTGGCCGTCGTTACGTTTTAATCTAATCTTCAACTAGGATTATAGATTAAGCTCTGGAACTCGAGGATGCTCGAGGCAGGATGACAATTTTCTCTTTTTTTTTCCTCTCGCAAACGTCGTGTACATGTACATAGATTTTTCGAGCACAAAGATCGTGGAGGAGCGTGCCGAGGAACACATTATAATTTAGAAAGTACTTTAAACGAGCAAGAAGCCCACTCAGACATACTCATGATTCTCGTAACGTTAAATTAATGAACGTAGATTAATTAATTGATTACACAATAAATACGTAAAATCGGGACGGATTTTGATTTGGGGGAACGTGATGTGCGTACTCGTCGTATGTGACGGTTGTCGAATTGAGAGTCGCGAAAATCGTCGGTTTCTCGGTAGATGCACACATCCCCTTCCGCGTAAAAAATAATAGCACAAGAAACCGTACGCGGGTTCGGAGGAGAAAAAAAGAAATCGTACGAATTCGTGTTTGTGGAAATAAAGATTTTTCGCAGCCGCACCTCAACGCGGGTGAAAGCAAGCACACAAGAGAAAGAGAGACTCTGCGAGGTTTATCTCTCCCTGTATATTGTACACTGTAATTACAATTTATACTTACTCGTAATCGATAATTTTATCGATAGGCTATTAATATTAGTGGCTAGCGTAATAAGTCAAGCTCAAATTAGCGAGACGGAAGAGGCGCGAAATACTTTTTTTCCCCTCGCGGTTTTATCGCGTTCCATCTTCGTCATAAATGCACAACTTCTTTTCCTCGATTGTCTCCTTTATGCGCGTTATCGTTGCGAGCAGGCCTATCGTATAAGATGTTCATAGAATTTAGAGGCTAGATCAGCTTTTTCTCTCTTTCTCCCCTGCCTTCTCCCTCTCACGTCTCTATTCTTTATTTTTCCGTTTGAATATTGAAGGAATGTCTTGTTATAATATATATTATAATATATATTATAATATATATATATATATAAAATGGATTTTGTTTCCAACAATTTGCTTTCTCGGAAAAAGGAGTTACGGAAGGATAATGAGATTCTTTCGGCTGTTAAAAATAAACAAAGAACGCGACATATCTAGATGATAATATAATTTACGAGGAAGAGCAACATCACTTTTGCCAAATTTCTGCACGTTTATGTATCTTCAGGTCCCGAATTTCCCTCCCTCTCTTTTTACCATAATTTCAGTCTTCGATCTTCGTCGAGCGTACCTTCCTTCTCGAATTAAAAGGATTTCTGTGCACAAACTAATCCATATTTTTCAAATTTAAATGGCCCATAAAATTTCAAAAAATACGGATTAGAGAACGGCGTGCATAGAGAAGATTTCTTTTATCCTAACGAACAAACGATGGACGCAGACGAAGCGAATTCTCGAGCCTGAATTCTCAACTCCGCCGATGATTAATTTTTACCCTCGTCGATGATGAGACCCAGAGCTAGTGGAATCGCGCAATGTAACATAACTCAATGATACGCACCGTACATTATACGTATAATGATTAATTAACGATAAATACCGTAAAGGGATTTTTAAATGAATCTAGATGAATAAACATGACTACATAATGACACATCTTACAAGCAACATATCCTAGGTATTTGAGCAAGGCGCTGCCGGAGTATCCCTCCCGTTTTTATCGTACGATTGTACGATCGACACGAGGAAGAGCATATAATTTGATCGACTTCTCGAAACCGAAAACTGTTTCGAGTGGCAGCGTCGTGCCATTCTTTTCGAATTAGTGCAAAAAAAAATTAATGAAAGATGTTCCATGACATTAGGACGTTATTATTAATGATATTTCTAGCAACGCGTGCGTGTAAAGTTTAATGTATCTGTATATGAAACATGATGCGTGCCTGCGTATATGTGCTGTGTGTGTATATGTGTGTGCGTGCATGACGGATGAGCGAGAAACTCATACCCTTTCTCCACAAATCGATGAAATCAAGAGCACGAATTAATTAATCGTTGTAAGGTAGCACGAAAACAACAAAAATGACAAATGAAGAAGAAATGCCCAGTGATATTTGAATCGCTGAGAAAAATCGA